ATATATATATATATATATATATATATATATATATATATATATTTATTCTGCAGTACACTGTAGGTTCAAAGCTCCATGCTGGTTGAAATGTGTGGTGCTCCAAACAGCTGGTGAATATCTCTGTGACAGTTCTCTTAGGGGTAGACTCGCTGGAGTCCTATACATCACTGTGTCTAGGGTTGAGCAATAACCATTTTCAAAACTGTTAAGCTTTTCTAGAATATTCAAATCAATTCAATTAACTTATGTACCACCAATTCATAACACATGTCATCTCATGGCAAAAACAGAGACAAATCAACCAGATCATACAGTCCGATTGGTTCAAAGTTTTCTATCTAAGGAAAACCAGCTGATTGCATCTACTCATGACTCAAAAGCAATCCCTCAAACCAAGCATGCTTGTAGCGACAGAGGAGAGGAAAACTCCCCTTTAACTAAAAGAAACCTCCAGTAGAACCAGGCTCAGTGTGAGTGGACATTTGCCCGAGGTTGACTAGGTTTCATCCATCCATCTATCTATATTCTCCCACTTATTCCATTAAGGTCAGTGTCTATTTCTTGTAGTCTATGTTCAAGAGGCGGACAGGTCGCTAGTCTGTAACAGGACAACAAAGAGAGACACAACCATGCACATACACACTCACACCTAAGGACAATTTAGAAATGACAATAAAACTAACAGTCATGTTTTGGGACTATGGGAGGAAGCTGGAGTACCCTTGGAGAACCAACGCATGCACTTGGCAGTCGTGTCTGATCTCACAAGCCGAAACAACTCTGTTTACATTCGATACACATGGCGCATTGCTGGTAAGATGGATTTGGACGGATAACAGCGCAAACAATTAAGCAAACTTATTACACCCTGGCTTCCTTAATATTGCTCTTTGTTGTTTACTTTCCTGAATTCTTTTACTCTGTTGATACCATCATGCTGGATTATTGTTGATATTACCAGACACGCAGCAGCGGAGGGACAGAAGATTCCCAGCTAGCCAGCGAGGGGTTAGACCAAGCTTTTTTTGCAAATGGGAAAGGCGCCAAATGCTGTTAGCAGGTTGACCCGTGTTTAAAAAACATATGTTAACATGCTATTTTCAGTTGAAAGAGACTTAAGCCTATAGCAGCATAACTATAGAGATAGCTCAGTATAACCTGAGCCACTCTAACTATAAAGTTTTAAGCCTATCCTTAAAAGGAGACAGGTTGCCTGTAAAATTCTATTTTAAGTACTCTAGAAATCAAATTTGTACTAGTAAGAACAAGTTAATTTAAGTGGCCATTTTAACATATATTTGCTTGATCGGATATGTATTTCAGATATCTTTAATAGTTTTCTTACTAGTACAAATGACGTCACTTTTCCTTATTTATATGTATTGGGCCATTACTTTCAGATATCCGAAATGACATTACTCCTACCTAAAATAAACACTCTCGATGTCTAAAAATGAATTTTAGATCTCTGCAATCTCTACAATTGTTACACGATACTTTTTTTAAATTTATAATGATACAATAGGACTGCCGGCCTTTCCTGGGTGTACCCCGCCTCTCGCCCGTAGACAGCTGGACATAGGCACCAGCACCCCTCACAACCCCGCTTGGGATAAGCGTGACAGAAAATGGATGGATGGATGGATGATACAATATCATTATAAATCTCTTTAATTGTCATTGAAAATTTTGTATATTCCATTAGAAACTGTCCTTTGAATTTAAACTATCCTTTTAGGAGTAGATAGGTACAGCTGTGCAGCACCTAGGGAGCATTCTGAGGCTAAGGGACCCAGATTAGCAGTATGTTGGGTTCAACTTCTCCAATCACTAGGCCATCACCACTATTTCTGCTATAGATCCATTTTGCCGCTCACTTTTGCAGGGATCAACAGCAACTAACTCTAAGTCCCACACGGACGTAGCGGTTTTTTATGTTGGGTGCTCTTCCATCAGAACCTGTTATACAACAAAGAGACACATATACTATGAATTTCCAGTAAGGATTAATCGGCATGGCTTACTGCCCAAAAATCTGCATGTGGGAACATGTTTCAATGCTTGGAATTGAATCAGTAGACCATCTGGTACTGTGAACTAGACACTGCAAACACTTGTTACCAACAGGCAAAAAAAGTTGATGGAATCAGATATTTTAAAGTCTTATTTGAATAAAAAGTAAATAAGTTAAAACTGAACAAAACCCCTGAACACACACATGTACCTGGGATATACAGTAAAATATTAAAAGGTTATCAGCAGATAAGGCCAATTGTAAAAACACTGGTAAATCTTAACAAAGTAAATACTATCTCATGAATACTAGTAGTTTGGTGGCTGTGGTTCTCGTTTAAATAATGTGATAATGTTTGCCTGATGTCAACCATTTTAAAATAAAAAAAAGGGTCTTAAGTGTCTCTGACAATGTTCAATTTTCCAGTGTCAAGTCCTCATCTCCAGTTCTCAAAGGCTAGTGTCCTGCAAATGTATGTATCGATGCATTTCTCTGCATTGTGCAAGCCAGAGAGCAAACTGGCTAGTTTGTTTAGTTTAGAGTATCACAATTTGAAAACACACTCCCTGTTGCTCCTCTGTTAAATGATGAACCGGGATCCTGAAAGGTAGGCAAGTGACCTTTAGAGAGTACGGCTCTACTCAACTTTTATTGCAGCTTTTGAATCCCTAAGGTTGTTTCTCTTAACAACTTGAGCATTAAATAGTTGAAGCTGAATGTAATGGAGACTGATCGAGAGGGAAAGGCCACAGCATCTCTCCACAGTTCATAAGTCTTCACACACCTAAGCTTAACCTCAGCTGCACCTTCCCTCTCAGCCTGTTTAATCAGTTGGTCAGAGGGCTCTCAGACAGAATTTGTGGAAGAAACGCCTAAGCTGAACAGCTGTCAAAGCAATGGTTTTCTTGGCAGAGCATAGGAAGGCTTATGTAATGGTGGAGCTATGATAGGGAGATGGAATAAGCTGTACCAAATTAGTTTGTTTAGATTGGGCACAGGGGTGCACCACAAATGGAAGTAAGAGATTCTTGAAATAAATATTCATTAGATGGTGGAATTGTGGAGGAAGTATTATGGCAACATCTCAATGTTTTATTCTAATACAGTATTTATGTTTTGTTTTTTTAAATCAAAGATGAAAAATAGCCTCAGCAGCTATTTATAATCACATGTTATAAATAGCACTCTTTTTCTATCTTTGTTTCTGTCTCCGTGAACCCCAGTCTGCCTTGGCAGATGGCCGCTCACACTGAGTCTGGTTTTGCTGGAGGTTTCTTCCTGTTAAAAAGGTAGTTTATCTCTCCATTGTCAATACAAGCATGCTAAGTGTGAGGCATTGCCTTTGAGTCAATGAGTTGATGCAATCAACTGGCTTTCCTT